AATAAACCCTTGGCGATCCTTTGAATTCAACCCCAAATCAGCTGCACTTACAGCTGCCAGAGGCTGCGGGCACTGAATAAAAGGAAACATGAACTTACCATTTCCTTTTCTTAAAACAAAAAAGATATTCAGGGCAAAGTTTAGAATCATTGACGGTTTCTAGGAAGATTTTCTTTTTCAGAGAAGGGGAAAAAAAGGTACTCTTGTCTGCTTAATTGTTCTTCGGGTTCTTTGTCACCAATCATGATCTTTTTTTTTTTTTTGTGGAAAGTATTAATATACCATCTTCCCATGTTCCGTACTCCCATTAACAATAAAAAGTCTAATGAAAATATCTGCATGAAAAGCCCTGAGCACTAATTTCAAAAGACAAATAAGAAGATGAACCAATAAGTGTTTCTTCTGAAATGAATGATGCAAATTAATTGATATCTTAATTAGGCTTCAGCACGAAGATTATTACTTAGATGGAATCCGAACTGCAAAACATCTTAAAGGAGAAGCCGAGGACATGGCGCTGGGGGCAGGAGGATGGAGGTGTTCACATGGCCCTCCCAGCTCCCATGCCTTAGCTCAACGAGGGGGAGAATTTCGAATTTCAGAGGGAGGTCAAGGGGCCTGGCAGGCTGTGTGTGTCCTGCTCGCTCGGTCTGGCCAGGTGCAGAGCTGAAGTCTAGTCCTGCAGGTAGAGGAAGTTCCCGGGTACCCCTGACACCCTCAGCACCCCACAGTAGGGCAAACAGTTTCTTTCCTGGGCCTCCCTAGGAGGCCCAGAGGGCAAAAACTCCTCGACATGGCCTGCGTGCCCCCATGGTATGATTTCTACTTAAAACAACAATGAAAAACATAAAACAACATTTCCTTGCAGTGGCGGACTCCCTCTGGGTTCTGGAGACTGCTCGAAGCATGTCCCTTGAAATAGCTCCTTGATGCTGAGTCTCTCCCGAGGGTGAGAGAAAGGGGCCGTCGGTATCAGTTTATAATTAGCACATCAAGATAGGGGCTACCATCAGGAGCGAAGGCTAATGCTGCCAGCTTCAGCCTGGGAGCACAGCAACCTGTGGACATTCCCTGTTCTTCGCCTCTGAGCTTCAGCAAATCCTGATGGTCTGTATTTGTTGATGTGGATGAACAAAGGATCCAGGGAGGCCACAACACCCTCCCGAGGGACTCTCTCGCTCCTAATTTTTATGAATGGGCAAGAGCCTAATCAGATCAGATTCCAGACACTATCAGTCTGTATTTCTTTTGTGGGGGAGGGGTGGTGCACATGGAGACAGGCGGGGGGCGGGGGGGTGGCGCTACTGATTATTCCTCTGATACTAAGACTGGATGCTGTCCTGGGTCAACCTGGATGGCTTTAGGAATTGTCACTCCCGAGAAGCTTGCCACAAAAATGAAGCCTGAAGCCCGAGTTTTTTTTTCTTTTTGGGTCACACCCAGCGAAGCACAGGGGTTACTCCTGGCTCTGCACTCAGGAATTACTTCTAGCAGTGCTCAGGGGACCATATGGGATGCTGGGGATCGAAGCCGGGTCCACCGCGTGTAAGACAAATGCCCTAGCCTCTGTGCTCTCGCTCTTGCCCCTGAAGCCTGAGTTTCTAATCTCAACCACATCCTCCCTGTCACTATGTTTGTCTCTATGGTCATTGTGAATGGCAGGGCTACTGTCACTCTGCCCATGGTGACTTTATACAGTGCCCCACTGACCACTACAACCACATGGGTCATGACATTGGGTCAGATTCACTTTTATCAGGTTCGAAATGTTTCACTTTTATCAGGTTCTAAATTCGTGGAGGGGAGGAGGACTGGGGAGGGGCGGTCCCTTGGGAGTATCACCCAGAAATGGAAGCAGAAACAGAAGCCCAGAGAGATGTGGAAGAGGGTTTCCCAGCTTACAGAAGCCCAGGTGTCACACATTGCAGAGTTGAGGGAGAGACTCGGTGGGTACCAGCACACGTGTTTGTCACAGGTTGGAGCTCAGGACCTAGTGGGAGACCCAGCTGTCTGGCCCGAGGATTAGGAGGCTGCTCCATGTGCTCTTTCCACTGTGGCTTTTCCCATTGAGAAAATGGGGGATAACACCAAGAGCACAGAACCTTGTTGCCAATTTTCACTTGAAAATGGCTCCACTGATGGCCAATAGGAACAACAACCAAACGTTTCTGTTGGGTCATTCTAGGGGTCTCAGGACAGAAGGCTACCTTGGGATCACCAGTAAGTGTTTGCATATGCAGCTTGGGAAAGCCACTCAGCGATTTCTTATTGCCCCCAAGGACATCTTTTTTTCCTTTTTATTTTATAATTTTACTATTTTTTAAAAATGAATGAATCACTGTGAGACAAAGTTACATACTTACAAACTTTCAGATTACATTTCATACAATCAACGAGTACCCATCCCTCCACCAGTGCCCATTCTCTACCACCAATGTTCCCAGTATCCCTCCCGCCATTCCCCTCCACCATCCCCCACCCCTGCCTCTGTGGCAGGCACATTCCCTTTTACTCTCTCTCTCCTTTTGGGTATTATAGTTTTCAATAAAGGTACTAAGTGGTCATCATGTTTGGTCCATAGTCTACTTTCAGCACGCATCTCCCATCCCGAGCGAGCCCTCCAAGCATCATTTATTTAGAGGTCCCTTCTCTATCCCAGCGCCTTCTCCCCCAGGGATATCTTATAGCAGTAGAAATTCCTGGAACCTTCTAAAGAGCCCGGGTGCTAGCCTACCCTTAGTCACACATTCTGCCATGGACTTCCTTTACTTCACCATAAATCCACCATAAGAACACACGTTGGGCACGACCTCACTGGCCTGTTCTTAGGAAACCCGTGAACCTTGCCCGGGAGCACCCCCAAGAAGCCTGCTTTGGTTTTCTTTTCCTCTTAACCTCAGTCTCTACTTCTCCGAGAACCTTTCACATGCCACACTGCAGTTAAGCAGCCGCGCTCCTGGCTCTGCCGACGGACGGCAGTGAGTGGGCACAAGGGCCAGGGACCCTGCACTTGAACCCAGCAGCAGCCAATACCAGCACAGAGGAAGGAGCCCAGGCCGCCCAGGAGCTGGGATGCCAGCAGTCCTGGTCTCTGCTGGCTGTGAGGCTGTTCCACCTGCAAGCTGGCAGTCTGAGCGCAGAGAGCCAACAGCTGCTACTTCCTGCCGCAGCCTTGGATCAGGGGAAGTGGGTGAAAATGTGAATGAAACCTGAGCGGCAAGGACAGGGGCCACACCCGGGCAGGTGGCTCTGGTAAGCCTCCGCTCCGTGGCCCTGCCCGACAGCTGCCAGCTGTCCCTCGCACCTGCTCTGCTCTGAGGCTGAGCCTGTGTCTGTACCACCAGGTTCATTGGGGAGCACTGCCTGGAGAGTGCACTGGGGTGAGTGAGCGGTGCGGGGGCGGAGGTCATCTCAGGCTCAGAGGAGAAGCACTTCCTGGCTAAGGTCCCCTCCATGCTAAAATTGGTTCATCTACGACTGCCTTTGGAAGCGCCTCCGAATTGCCTAGTAGAGGCTGCTCTCTCTCTCTGTGTGTGTGTGTGTGTGTGTGTGTGTATGTATGTACACACATATGCCCATGTGTCGGGGGCTGGGCTGTAATGAGAGGTCCAGGGCACCATTCCTTCAGAGTGTCACTCCATGACCAAAGGGAAGTCACAAATACAGGAAGAGGCAATGGTCCAGGTGTGGGCAGGACCCTGGGTCTCTCCTGCTTGTGTCATCAGTGCTGCTTCTGGCTCTGATGGCGATAATGTTTGTTCACGAGAGTTGGGGTGGGGGAGAGGCTGAGCAGGCCACCCTCACCCCCCACACTTACCCTCGGAGACCAGCTCAGGCATAACTGACCCCAGGGGCTCTTTCAAGTCCCCAGCCCAAGGCTGTGCCTGAGGATGGACTGTCCACCTCTGGGTCACTGCTGCCAGGTGACTCCACCTACCCCTATACCCCATTCACGACTCAGGGAACCCTCTGGATTGGGAGTGCTAACTCCTAGTTGTGATAATCCTTCTGCCTAGGTCCCCTACTCCCGAGGGAGCCCTTTGATATTTGTGGGGTTCTCCGTTCTCCTAAGTGCTCCATATCACAGACAAAGGTGAGTGCCAGGGGTCCAACGGGCCTCTGAGAGGCTACTCAATAGGGAGGCAGCCTTATCGGAACCCCAACTTAGTCATCTGGGGTTCCATGGTCTCAGGATTGAAGCCTTCCAGAGGCTTCCACACACCAGAAGCCAGTAAGGATTTTCTCTGGGTGTACAGCCCAGAAACAAAACCCAGCTGGCAGACAGACCGGCAGGGAGGCAGGTGGCACATCTGGATGGCCAGAGCTCTCTGAAGTCTCCAGCGAGGATGGAATTCACTCAGCCTGAACCAGAGTCTTACACTGGAGCTTCCTGACCCCGCTCCAGTGCCTATTAATTGCCCATCAGGTCTGGTTTCTCTGACCTGTTCTAGGTCCCATACACCATGTGGGGACAAAGGGACAGAGGGAAGGGGAGGGCACTGTTTCCAGCCCAGTACAGGAAGACACTGTGCCTTCTCCATGCTAATTAACCTGCAGCAGCCTGCAATCTCCTCCCTGCACCCCCATTCTGCCACCTGGACCCCAGAGTCACCCCAGTGACCCCCAACCCAGGCCCCTGGTGGTACTGTGTTGGGGTCATTTGTTAAATTTCTAGAAACTCTGTGTGCATTCTTCACCATCTGTAGTTTGAAGCTGGCTATGGTCGAAGGACTGAAATCAGCAAACACCCCAAGCTGGGGCTCCCCGCTTATACAGAATGCCGGCTGACCTGTTTACCGGTTGTCTTAGGACCCTTTTTGGGAATGTTAGAAAACCTTCCAGGGGCTGATGGGTGGGTGCTGGTGCCGAGTGGATGCAGCAGTTACTTCACAAGATATCCTCACCCTGTCGGCCTGAGTGAGAGTGTCACACGGCCCTGGGGACTCCTCTTGCAGCCACAATCTCAAATGAATTGGAAAAGTGTGTCCTGGTTGGCTTACCTTGATGCCTACGACCAGCCAGTGTCTCCAGAACTGAGCGTTGGGAGAAGACCTGCTGGGAACATCCGGGTCCACCATCACCAGGATGTAGGATGCAACCTGTAAAACACAGGAACCAGAACGAAGTTTCACTGGCTGGAGAGATAGTGCAGGACTAACGTGTTTGCCTTGCATGTGATTGACCCAAGTCCAATCCCTGGCAATGTATACGGTCCCCTGAGCACCCTCAGAACTAATCCTTGGGTGCAGCTGCACGAATAAGCCCTGAGCATCTCCACCTGTGGCCCTATTCCCTTCTCCCTCCCAAAAAGTTAATGTCGGGCCACGCAAGCTTGCTGCTAGGAAGACGAAAACGGGCAGACTCTCCTCTTGCCTCGTTTCAACAGAAGAAGGGCTGAGCGGCCACTCACGGCTTCCCACAGAGCTCACCCGTGTTCTCACAGCCCTTCTCGAATGCCACTCAGTGCAGGGAAGTGAGTCCGTTCAGGACTCAGCCAAATAATGTGGCTTTATGTAGAAAGATAAATCAAACAAGCATCTTGACTAAGACCCAGGATCATCAGCTGGGTGCTCTGGGCGGGGGCGGGGGGGGGCACAAAGCTCATGGGAGTGGAGTGACTTATCCACTCATTTAGTCACCCGTGTCAGAGCTCCAGTAGGGTGAGAGGGAACATGGCGACATCGGTGGAGGGAAGGGGTACTGGTGAAGGGGTTGGTGTTGAAACATTGTACATCTGAATCTTTTTTTTTTATTAGAACCAAAAAAGGAGCTTTATGTGTGCCTATTAGCCTAAAGACACTTGGAATCTCAGGTATGGAGGGACAACATCTCTTTGCATGAGAATGGTACCTAAGGTGCTTTCGTTTTTTTCTTTTTTCTTTCTTTTTATTTATTTATTTTTAAATTTTTATTAGTGAAATACTATGAGGTACAGTTGTAGACTTACAAATTTTTGTGCTTGGGTTTCAGTTATACAGTGATTGAGTACCCATCCCTCCACCAGTGCCCATTCTCCACCACCACTGATCCCAGTATCCCTCCCACCCCCCATCCCCCCATCCCCCCATCCCACCCTGCCTCTGTGGGAGGGCATTCCCTTTTGTTCTCTCTCTCCTTTGGGGTGCTGTGTTTTGCAAAAGAGGAATTGAGTGGGAATCATGTTTGGTCTATAGTTTACTTTCAGCATGCATCTCCCATCCTGGAAGGATCCTCCGAACACCCTTTATTTGGTGCTCCCTTCTCTCTCTGGGCTGCCTTTTCCCCTAGTGTACACCTGAATCTTAATCATGAATAACCTTGAAACTCTGTAATTCACGGTGATTCAATTAAAAAAAAAAGCTCCAGCAACGGCAAAGGATGCTGGGAGCACGGCATCATCCCTTCCCCAAGCTCAGGCAGAACCATCTAGTAGGTGTCAGGTGCTGTTGTAGGTGCTGGGAATCTAAAAAGAGAACAAGTCAGGGGCATTCATGCCTTCAGAATGCTTTTTTGTTAGAGACACAGGTAATAATAATGATAGTGATGATAATAATCAGTGAAAATAAAAAGAAAATGTCAAATTGTAATTAGGGATACAATGAAATAAACAGGGTGACCAGAAATAAACATTCTGAGAAGACACTCACTACAACAGAAATCTGCAGGTCAAAAAGACCCAAAGTAGCGAGGGGTGAGAAGATGGGAATAGCCGTGGCTGGCTGCAGAAGTGAAGGGGCCAGGTCACTAAGGGCGAGGCAGACGCTGGGGAGGCCTGCGGACTTCCTGAAAGAACCATGAAAAACTCGAGGAGCGTTGTAGCTGGGGGACTGATGTGCTCACGATGCCTTTTTTCAAGGATTGGTTTGGTTTGGTGGCTATGTGGAGAAGCTATGAGTCACAGGAGGCCAGTTGGGAGGCTGTTGAATGAATTGGAGAATAGCGGCACCATGGCATAGAGTGGTAGAAACCCAGTGGGGAACTATCTTTGGGTTGAATCAATGGATTTTGCCAAGAGGTTGAGCAATAGGAAAGTGAGGAAGGGGGGAAGAAAGAGAAATCAAGGATGACTCCTGGACCGGGAATCAACCAGGAGAGCAGTGTAGAGCCTCACAGACAACTGGAAGGAGTTCTGTTTCAGACAAGTCAGCTTTGAAATGCCTTGGAAGAGACAACCAAATATATATAAACTGAGTTTGGAATTTGAGGGCAGGATCAGAACTGGGTATATAAATTGGGGAGACCTTGATCTATTAAATTTATAGACAAATGAGCTTATTCGTGGAAAAGGAAAGAAGTCACAAGACTGAACACTTAAGCAAGCTAGCAATGAGGAGAGAGGAGGCACCAGCCAGGGGTCTCTGCCCCCACCGGCTGAGTGGGGCTCATGAGAACCTCCACACAATGCATCTCAAGGAGGAGGAAATGGTTAGTGGTGTGAAACGAAACTGAAAGGCAGAGGAAGAGCAAAAGGAAGGTACAGAACTGATCCTGTGACCTGACAGCTTGTAGGTCACTCTTATCTTGACAAGACCAGTTTTGGTGGAGTAGGAAGGAATGATACTTGGTAGATCAGGTGGAGATGAGAGATGGGAGATGAGAAATTAGAGATAGTTATTAATGATGATTAAAAAGCAAGAAGTTTGGGTGGTAAAGGACAGTTGAAACATGGAGTGACTATTACCAGAGGGAAAGGAGGAACAGATACTTAAATTAAAAAAAATTTTTTTTAGAGATGGATGATGGTTGCACCCACTTGCAGTCAATGGAACTGACCCAAGAGGAATAGGAGAGGGGACTGTGTCCATGTCTTGGCTTGTTGTCTTGGAAGGTGTTAGGAGCAGGAACCAGAGAGGAGGAGGAGGATCTAGCCTGTGGTAGGAGCAGAGAGGCTGGGTCCCTGGGAGGGGTAGCGCTGAGGGATGAGGAAATCATCCTCTGCTTCTATTTCTTTAATGAGTTAGTGTCAAGGTCATAAGGGGAAGGGGGATTATAGGAAGTTTGGGGGCAGAGAAGAAGGCATGAAGTAGTCATTTTGGAAAGTGAGAAACTGAATATTTCATGGTGAGGTTACTAGGTGACATTACATTCTGCAGTCACTTTTAACTGTTCTAGTGCTGGCAAAGATTAAGTGGTGGCAGAAGTTGGAGAAGGACTTAGACTGGTGAGTAGGAGGGAAAAGAAGGGTGTCAGGGAGTCAGAAGGGAGTAAGAGAACTAGAGTAGAGTCCTGCTGGGACTCTTGCTGCCTCTCGGGAGACAGACAAGTGCTCTGCAGAGAGACAGACTTAGGTAGAGGAGTCCTGATCAGGACCCTGGGGGGCTCAGAGCCTCACCTCTCCATGCCAAGGACCCAGGGAGGCTTTCAGAGTTGTCTAGGGACTGAAGAGTCTGAGCAAAGACACTGTGGGTGTCTGGGGAGTGGCCAGGGGCTGGGCTGCTAGTACAGGGTGTCTGAAAAGGAAAGGGAAGTGAGCAGGTTGGAACCAAGTCAGAGGAAACTTACCTGTTTTTGCAAATTTGATTCACAATGGAATCTACTCAAAGTTGTTCCAGAAATGGTTGACATGAGTAAATGCCTGCTTTGGGAGGCATGCAAGGAAGATGAGAAAATGAAAAGTAAGGGCTGGAGCGATAGTACAGCTGGGAGGGTGTTTGTCTTGCACCCAGGTTTGATCTCTGGGACCCTCTAGGGTGTCCCTGGATCCATCAGGAGTGATTTCTGAGTGCATAACCAGGAGAAAGCTCTGAGCACTGTGGGGTGTGCCCCAAAAGACAAAAAGAGAAAGAAAATGAAAAGGAGGACAACAGAAAACCTGAGATGACTCTGGTACTTTTAGAGCTTGAAAATCCCAGTAGTAGTCATGTAGCAAGAGAAAGGAGAAGCATTTGTGCATGAGAATGAACAGCATGTGGCAAATGCCAGAGAGGGAAATGAGACAGATGCAAGACGACTCTGAGAGTCTGTCTGGGTCGACGGCAGTACCAGGAATATGAGGAGCAGAAAAGGTAGTAAGTGGTGACCCTGGCACGAGGACATACAGATAGAGTCATCTTTAAACGGATCTAGGAGGCGGGAGCTTTCTCAAGAAGTGGCTTGTGTGCAGTGGACAGAGGAATGATGAAGAGTTCCAAAACTGCAGAAGAAAGGTCAGAAAACAGAACAATGAGGAAAGAACTTGGGACTCAGAGCAGTGGGGAGAGGAGGGACCGAGGAGGAGAGAGTTAGGAGGAGGATGAGGAAGCAGAGTGTCAGGAAGACTAAGAGAAAGGGGGATAAAGGAGGGAGTGAAGAAGAGACATCACAGAACCTCCAAGGGAGATGGACACAGGGCAGTATCAACCAAAAACCAAAACCAACAACTGGCCAGCAAATTCCCAACAATAAGAAATTTGGAAGAAGAAAGACTGGTCATTGAATGGTAAATTACGAAAGAAATACTGAACCACATACTTATGAGCTACCAGAAATTAAATTGGAGAAATTAAGATGGGCCCAAGAGCTTACAAGAAAGAGCTAAAAGATGAGAATAATAAGGGAAATAGGATCATGTATGGTCCCAATGGAACCTTAGAAAAATGCCAATTGATACATCTAAGAATTGGTCACCATAAGCAATAAGAAAATATTTTTAAGTGTAAAAAAACTGTGAAAGTAGAAATAAAATCAGCTGTCTTCTCTCTGTCTTTTAGTTAATCTTGTGTAAAATGACATGAGAAATCCAAACAACTAGACTAATATTTGGCAAAATCAGTAGTTTCCTAGAATCTAATATACTTCAAAATTGCAAATACAGGAACAGGGATAGCAGAATGGCTACAGTACATGTGTACCCTACCTAGGTTCAATCCCCAGCACCACAGGTCCCCTAAGAATCACTGGGGACAGCCCTGGATGCCCTGAGCACTGCAGGACCCAAGTAATATCATATCCAGGCACTGAACTGCCTACCCAGTTGGCAGAGAATTGCCAGTGTGGTTCCAAGATCTCCAGAGCACTGCTTGGGAAGCCCCTTATCTCAAATACAATTCTAATAAAAAAATGGAATATCCATAAACACACGTGATGAAAATACAAGTATGTATATTCGTATATATACATATATTCGGGTTGGAGCGATAGC